AAAAAAAAAGGAAAAGAAAGAAAGGGAGTCGTACAGGTACTGGTGGGAACAGTGTCCCAGGAGAGGGAAAGGCACGGAGACTGGGTACTCAAAGGCACCTCTGAGGAAGTAATCTTAGAGCTGAACTTGCGTAACGAGGAGGAGCCAGGCTCGCACAGATCTGGGAGAAGACCAGCGAGGTGAGGGGGCAACGATCAGAGCCACAAGAAGCCCCGAAGGGACGCCTGGGAACTGAGGACAGCCAGCAGGGATGACTCCTGGGGTTTGGCCTGAGCCACAGGGAGGCCCTGCCACTTTCCCACAGTGGAGAGGGCAGGGCTGTGGGGTGTATGTGGCGGGCATGGGGTCCCGCTGGAAACAGCTCTCTTTGCCAATATGAATCTGTTTGAACATCAAATGAAAATATCGGGCCAGCAGTTAGAGCTGAGTGTCTGCCACATGGAGACCTAGAGCTACAGGGTGGAGGAACATGCAGGGGAGCAACAAGAAGGTGTCACTCCCTGGTGCAGCACCTGGCCAGAGTGGGTGCTCAGCCACGACCCAGTCCACCTCCTACCACAACACCGCTGAGAACAGACTGGACCCTTCCTGAAACAAAAAACAAAGGGAAGAGTGTGTGGGGGTGGTGAGCTTCCCGTGGCTGCTTTAACAAGCCACCGCCAACTCTGCTGCTTAAACTACATTTATTCTCTTGCAGTTCTGCATCTCAGAAGTCCAAAATGAAGGGACACGCAGGGATGGTTCCTTCTGGAGGCCCTGCAGGGAGATCTGCTTTCTCAGTTTCGACACCTGCTCACCTCTCCTGGGTAGAAGCCTCTGCTCCCTCTGCAAAGCACATCCCTCCGGCCTCTGCTCTGCCACCATCCCTCCGGCCTCCAGCCTCTGCTCTGTCACTGGTGACTTCTCCTGCCTTTGACCTTCTTGCTTCCCTCTTATCAGGACTCCTGCAATTGCACAGAGGGCCCACGGCCCACACGATAATCCAGGACTGTCCCCTCATCTAAAGTCCTTAATTCCACCACTTCTGCACAGCCCCTTTTACTGTGCAAGGCGACACGATCATAGGCTCCAGTGATCAGGACACGGACATCTGTGCTGGCAGGACAGGGAGGCGTGACTCAGCCCACCACAGGGTGTAAACGGTATCCAGGACGTGGGGTTTGCCAAACAGCAACAACAAAACCACCCAATTCTTGTAAACCCATGTGGTGTGCGATGTTTTATGGCAGAGTCATGACCTATTCAAGTCCTAAATCCCTGAAGGCGCTGCATCTGCAGACATGTTTGCGTGTCACACCTGCACATGGGCCACGCTAATCTTCTCTGCGTTGGTCCAGTTCTAGTACATGTGGTCTTTAAAGAGGTGATTAAGATAAAATGAGGCCACTGGGTTGAGCCCTAATCTGACAGGACTGGTGTCCTCGCAGGAAGAGATTAGGACACACACGTGTCAAGAGAAGATGTGAGGACTCAAGGGGAAGACACAGTCCAGGAGCCAAGGTGAGACCGAAGAGGACCCAGCCCCACTGACACCCTCATCTCAGAGTCCGCCTAACTCTCAGAAGATACTTTCTGACGTTTGAGTTGCCCGTTCTACTGCATTTTGATCTGGCGGCCAAGCCGTTACTGGACGAGGTATGGCTCTCACTCCAGGTCTGACTGGCCTTCAACATTCCTTCCTGCATCCGTTCCTTCCACAGACACGCATGACCAAGTGTCTGCTCTGTGTGAGGAACAAAGTCACGGAGATAAAAGACCCCGTCCAGACGCACTGCCTCGAAAGGAGACAGCCGTGAACCCTGAGCGACAGAGGGAGGAGCAGCTGTCTGTGCCTCGGGAAACAGCTCCACAGGGCCTTCACCTTCACCAGCCACAGTCACAGCCAGCCGGTCACAGTAATCAGTAGATGCTGCCCTGGGGCCAAACATTTCAGCCAAATAAACCACAGGCAAGGTCCTGCTCTACCTTTTGAAGTGAGGACACAAACAATAAACAGCTATTTCCTTTCTGATAGTGACAGGTGCTGGGGGGGGTGGCTAGACTGGCTGGTGGGGTGGGGGCAGCCCTGCAGGAGCCGGGCTGAGCTGGGACCCCAATGAGACAGGTGGCAGAGGGAGGGCCAGCGCCTGAGGGGCTGGTATGGGAAGTAGCTGGCTGGACGCAGAAGCAGAGGAACACCCCAGGGGCTCCCGGAGGAGCAGGGAGGGAGAAGAGGTTTTCTGAGGGGTGGAGGCAGGAGTCACACGTGCTGGGCCTTCAAGGGCCATGAAATGGTTACTCATTGCTATATAACAAACCCCCCCCAAAAGCAGTGGCTTAACCGGCTACTTACTGTCTCTCAGGATTACACTGGCTGCCTGGTACAGCACTGTGCTGGCGTTTAACTACCTTCTCTACAGAAAAAATCAAAAGCAAAATAAAAAACCACCCTGATTTGAAGCATTTACCAATGTCCACAGTACGGACACTCCTCCCAGGGCCTGTTCCAACCAGACGACCACCTGAGCTGAGTGGGTGAGGCTGGAAGGGACGCGTCCCACACGAGCCACAGCACAGCACACCCACAGGCGTGCGGGTAAGAGGCAGGTGCACTGAACTAACCAGAAAGCCGTGTGTCCTGAGCACTCATTGCCTTTGTTTTAAACGTAACTCAATTCTAAGTTGATAGGATGCCTGAATAATGGCCGTGTCTACCTGTTACCAGCTCTTGGCGCTCCTGGAGGTGGCTCCCCGGAAGATCACCTGGCTCCGTGGTGCTGCCAGTCAGCACATGGATCTGCAGGGCTAGACTGCGCTCTGCATACAGCCCTCCGTCCTCAGGGAGGCACCACTGGCTTCGCTACACAGCTGCAGCCCACGTGGGGCCCACATGGAGGGAGGCAGAGGGCGGGGATGGCCCTGGGACAGCGTTTTGTTTACGCATCAAGCCCAGCTGGAGGGAGGATCTACTCAAGCCTCCTAAAGCCCCTCCGTTCTCGCACTTTCCTTCCCTTCCCGGTGCAGTGAGGGGATCCGAGTGACCTAGTGGCAGTGATGTCGTCGGGGCCTCTTCCGGGGAGCCGGCTGGAGCTGTCTTGGGGCCAGCACTGCTCCACTATCTCCAGGCTGCCAGCCCGCAGCTGAGGCGCTGTCACTAGGGAGCCCTCGCCAGCACAGGCCCCTTCCAGACCCAGCTGCCTCTCTGCTTTGGGCACATCCCTGTGGTGAAGGCCACGCTGTGCCGGGAGCAGCCCTGGATCCCTGCCTCTTTCAGACCTGGGACCAACCACTCCCTTCCCACAGGCCCTGAGGGCATTAAGATGACTTAAAGCAGATTTAACAGTCTTTGTAGGCGACCTTAGGAGGAGGGTTGGCCTGAATCCCCATGTCTGTTTTAAGCCAATCTTCCCTGCCTTCCTGGCTGTAGTCAGGAATCCTGACAGAGGTCATCCCAGTGAGGCATCACTGGGGTGGACGGGCTCACCTAGAACCCGAGGCCCCCTTCCCCAGCTTGGAGCCGATGGGTGAGCAGGGCTGACCCCCACTTCTGAGGGGCACCAGGAGGATGAGGTGCCCTTCACTGCACCAGGGAGCACAGAGGGAACCACGGGTGGGTAGCGCGTGGTAAGACAGTCAGTGGGGCCAGCGGGCGACAGCAGCCCAGCCCTGGGTGTCAGTGGGGCCAAGGCGCCAGGCAGAAGCAATGGGGTCTGTGGCTGCTGCCAGGCTGCCCTCCAGGAAGCCTGCAGATGACGCAGACAGCCACTCCACGGGGAGAGCAGGGCTCCAAAATAGCCACAGGGTGTGGGTCCTTCTGGGTGGGATGGCTGGGTATTGCAGAAGAGAAAGTACAGAAGCTCATGAAAACATGGCATGAGTTCACAGCCACTGCTTCCATAACACATGGATCCTTACCACGCCTAGGGAGTAACTGCCCAGGTCCCTGGTTCCATAAAACACAGCTCCTTACCACGCCTGGGGAATGACTGCCCTGATCTCTGGTTCCATAAAACACAGCTCCTTACCACGCCTGGGGAATGACTGCCCTGATCCCTGGTTCCATAAAACACAGCTCCTTACCACGCCTGGGGAGTAACTGCCCTGATCCCAAGGCCTCCTCCCTCACATCAGAGCCAAACCCAAGCTCTGTTCCAATTGCTCCACGCAGAGATGCCCTTCTCGGTGAGGCAGGCGTTGGATTTCTCTGAAGGACTGAGGAAGTAGAGTGAGTCCCCAGGACACCTGGAGCCCCAGGGCTCTGTGAGCTGCCCTGGCCTCCCTAGACAGGTGCAGCTGGCCCTGAGAAAAGCTCTGCATCCTCTATGTTCTTTCTACATCTTGGAGATGGGAGCGGGGAGAGTGAATGATCAACTGATCTCTCTAAGACACATACACGGGGCAGCTCCAGCTCTCTTTACGGGCGAATGCTGGCCTTCCTTCTCAGACTCACCCCTGCAAAAACTCAGGACCTACCCTCTCAGCCTCACCCCTGTACCAATATGGGACCTCCCCTCTTGGCCTCACACCTCCACAAACTTGGGAGCTCTCCTCTTAGCCTTGCCCCTGCATAAACTCGGGACCGAGGTCCTCTCTCGGCCTTGGCCCTGCAAACTCGGGACCGCCCCTCTTGGCCTCACCCCTGCACAAACTTGGGACCTCCCCTCTCAGCCTCACCCCTGCATAAACTTGAGACCTCCCTCTCTGCCTTGCCCCTGCACAAACTCAGGGTCTCTGTATGGCAGCTTCATCTGGTGCTCTGCCAAAGACAAGGCCTCCACGTTGAATGAACAGGCTGTGGCTTCCCAGCATTGGCGGAATGAAGAGACACTGAGCAGGTTTCACCAGATGCTGAGACTTCAGGCCCCAACCTCAGGTCAGGCATGACTCTATGGAGTCACTGAGGGACTGCAGGCGACAGAGTAGCCATCACTAGCATAAGGCTCTTGGAGCTCCCGCTGCATGAGGCCTGGCTCCCTGACATGGGAAGTGAGGCAGCCCCACACACGAGCCCAACACGAGGGGGAGGAGCAAACACGGCTCATTTATTACAATGCAAAAGAGAGGACTTTCCTCCACAAATACAGAGTGCTGCTTCTCAGTTTCTATCAAGAGCAAGACAGTTGAAAATTGTATTCCTGAGAAGAAGCAAAAAAGTTATCAGTTTGCAAACAAGGGCAACAGGTGATTTCAACAAAAGATAAAAATCTTTTTTTTTCCCCCAGAAATCAAAATTTCAAGTATGATTCCAGATGACACGGGAAACCTAGCACAGAAGGAAGCCAAGGTGCCCTCAGGCTCTGCAGGGTCTCAGAGGAAGGGCCCGGGCAGCATGAGGGAGCGGCGTGTCCTGGGACCTGTGCCCAGCCCCGGCTTGGGACCACGGTTGCTCACACATTAGCAAGGAGCCGGTAACCTGACGGCCACATCGAGGGTTAACAGTTTCGGACATTTGAAGGTTTTTTTTTTTTTTAATAAACAGAAGCATATGCTTATTCTTTCAAATACCATACTATACCCAATTTTAGTCAATTTGTAAATTATAAATTATATTATTTGTGCTACAGTTTGTGACAATTAAATCTTATTAGAAGATAAGCACCAAACCTATTCAAATAAAAAATATATAAAATGCTGTGGTTTTCCCAGCAGCAGAATATTCTGTACATCCTGTAGGCTGTAAACTTACGCTCCCTTCCCCTGAACCAATGGTTTTGATAATGGTTCCCCTTTCTCCCTTGAAACTTTTCCTGAAAACAGATTTCTGCTTTAACTGTAATGACAGAAAAGGTACAGAAGAGCAAACCTGCACTGCCCCTCTCGGCGGGACGGCAGTGTGTGGCAGGAAGGGCTTAGTCTCTGCTGTTCATCCAAGGGCGAGCCCTGCCCTGTGCTCACTAGGAGGGCGGGTTGTGGCCCCCAGGGCTGTGAGGGAGGGTCTCACTCAGAGGGTGAAGCTCCACAGAAGAAAGAGTCACCCCAGAGCACCTGCTGGAGACCCTGCGCCCCTCAGGGGGCCGTGCAAATGCCCTGACATGTTTGTCTCTGTATTTTGAAAACGCGCTCTCTTCACCTCCAGTGCTGAAAGCTGCTCGGGGCCTCTGGATGCTTAGTTTTTGAACCTTGTCTGTTCACAGATATGATTGAATTTCCTGCAGGGAGAAAATGGCCAAATTACACAAGAGAGCACCAGAGACGCATTCTAATAAATTACACAAGAGAACATGAGAGAGGCATTCAAATAAACCCATGCTGAAACCATACACTGGAAGAGATCCTGAGAAAGAGCGTGTGGGTTTTTTATAGTATCAAAGAAACTAACCCCCAAAGGCAAACTTATTTTTCTTTTTAAAATTTTGAAACAGAAGTGAATATATCTGGTTGGGTGCAGTGGCTCATGCCTGTAATCCAGCACTTTGGGAGGCCGAGGCAGGCAGATCACTTGAGATCAGATGGAGACCAGCCTGGCCAACATGGTGAAACCGTCTCTCTACTAAAAATACAAAACTTAGCCAGGCTTGGTGGCAACTGCCTGTAATCCCAGCTACTCGGGAGGCTGAGGTAGGGTAATCGCTTGAACCCGGGAGGCAGCAGTTGCAGTGAGCCGAGATCATGCTACTGCACTCCAGCCAGGGAGACAGAAAGAGACTCCATCTCAAAAAAAAAAAAAAAAAAAAAGTACGCCAGGCACAGTGGGGCGTGCCTGCAGTCCCAGCTACCCCGGAGGCTGAGGTAGGAGGATCGCTTGAGCCCAGGAGTTCTGGGCTGTAGTGTGCTATGCCAATCAGGTGTCCGCAATAAGTTCAGCATCAATATGGTGACCTCCCAGGAGCGGGGAATCACCAGGTTGCCAATCGAAGGGTGAACCGGCCCAGGTCAGAAACAGAGCAGGTCAAAACTCCCATGCTGATCGGTAGTGGGATCACACCTGTGAATAGCCACTGCACTCCAGCCTGGGCAGCATGGCAAGACCCCATCTCTTAAAAAAAAAAAAAAAGTGTGAGGCTGGGTGCGGTGGCTTACGCCTGTAATCCCAGCACTTTGGGAGGCCGAGGCAGGTGGATCACGAGGTCAAGAGATCGAGACCATACTGGTCAACATGGTGAAACCCCGTCTCTACTAAAAATACAAAAAATTAGCTGGGCATGGTGCCATGTGCCTGTAGTCCCAGCTACTCAGGAGGCTGAGGCAGGAGAATTGCTTGAACCCAGGAGGCGGAGGTTGCGGTGAGCCGAGATGGCGCCATTGCACTCCAGCCTGGGTAACAAGAGCGAAACTCCGTCTCCCAAAAAAAAAAAAAAAGTGTGAATATCTTAGGATCTTAGGTAGCTTTCTTAGCGAAGAGAATAAAAGCTGTACTTCTCGGGCATCCCCGTGGCATCCGCTAATAGGGCTGAGGCAGACGCACCAAGCTGGATGGCCTGTGGCCACCTTCCCTCTCCACACCCGTGGGCAAGGAGGACCAGCGCGGCTCTGCTATCCTGATGCACACTTCTTTCGGAAAGTGTCTGCCAGTCAACAGTGAAATCATTTTTTGTAACAACATGGTCACTTTCATGTGCTGTTTGTGCTCAGACAGAAAGCAACATTTTTATTCCACAAAATCCCTGAGAGGGAGGCGCCTTTATCTGAGTCCTCACAACACCCTTGTCCTGAGGGTCCCATCTCCATCAGTTTAATCTGAACTCCTTGGCCACAGGAGTGGTTTACAGGATCACCTAACCTGAGAGACGCCTCCTGACCTACACCTCCCAGGGCAATGCAGATGGCGCTGTGAGCCTCCTTTAGAGACCATGGAAAGGCACCACGTGAGAGTGACAAGGTGACAGCGATCACAAATGCCTGCTCATGGCAGGGACGGAAACCCAGCTGTGCAGTGCTACATGAGGCGGGCCTGAGGCTTGGGATGAAGTTCTCAGTGACTGCAGCCTCTGATTTAGACACTGTGAAGCCTCAAACAATGGGTGTGCCCCAGATGCCTCAGGCAACACATCAAGCAACTCCAGCCAGGAAGACACAGAGGTGAAAGATGGGGGCAAAACCGCATGAAATGAAGGGATGAAGGATGAGCAAGATTTCTTTTTTTTTTTTTTTTTGAGACGGAGTTTCGCTCTTGTTACCCAGGCTGGAGTGCAATGGCGCGATCTCGGCTCACCGCAACCTCCGCCTCCTGGGTTCAGGCAATTCTCCTGCCTCAGCCTCCTGAGTAGCTGGGATTACAGGCACGCGCCACCATGCCCAGCTGATTTTTTGTATTTTTAGTAGAGACGGGGTTTCACCGTGTTGACCAGGATGGTCTCGATCTCTTGACCTCGTGATCCACCCGCCTCTGCCTCCCAAAGTGCTGGGATTACAGGCTTGAGCCACCGCGCCCGGCCGATGAGCAAGATTTCTAAATGAAGATGCCAGTTCATAAAAGACGCAACTTGGCCGGGTGCGGTGGCTCACGCCTGTAATCCCAGCACCTTGGGAGGCAGAGGCTGGCAGTTCACAAGGTCAAGAGATAGAGACCATCCTGACCAACATGGTGAATACAAAAATTAGCTGGGTGTGGTGGTGCACACCTGTAGTCCCAGCTACTCAGGAGGCTGAAGCAGGAGAATCACTTGAACCCAGGAGGCAGAGGTTGCAGTGAGCAGAGAGCATGCCACTGCACTCCAGCCTGGGTGACAGAGCAAGGCTCTGTCTCAAAAAAAACCAAAAAGGCACAACTTGACAGAAGCATAATGACCACATCAGCATGTTTATAAGCAGACGGTTAACTCATTCACTGCCCTGCAGCTGATGCCTACGCCCCCAGCTGCACTCACATGGCGTGGTGAGCCTTCACCTGAGTGCGGCAGTTACGGCCCCAGTAGCAGTCAGGACGGGATGTTACAGCGGCTGGAAAAAGAAAGGTTACACATCTATTAGATGTATCGCACACACCCACTCAGCTAACGGAATTTCAGCAGAGATCCAAAAAGAGACGCTGCGGCTGTAACGTGCAGCCTCTGGTCTCTCTGTAACTAGTTTCCTTGGACCGTTCTAAGACTTCAGGAAAGGAAACACACGTTTAACTAAAAACCCAACTGAGGGTCAGGCAAGGTGGCTCACTCACCCCTGTAATGCCAGCACTTTGGGAGGCCAAGGTGAGCAGATCACTTGAGGTCAGGAGTTCAAGACTAGCCTGGCCAACATGGTGAAACCCCATCTCTACTAAAAATACAAAAAATTAGGCCGGGCGCGGTGGCTCACGCTTGTAATCCCAGCACTTTGGGAGGCCGAGGCGGGTGGATCACGAGGTCAAGAGATCGAGACCATCCTGGTCAACATGGTGAAACCCCGTCTCTACTAAAAATACAAAAAAAAAAATTAGCTGGGCATGGCGGCACACGCCTGTAGTCCCAGCTACTCGGGAGGCTGAGGCAGGAGAATTGCTTGAACCCAGGAGACGGAGGTTGCGGTGAGCCGAGATCGTGCCATTGCACTCCAGCCTGGGTAACAAGAGCGAAACTCCGTCTCAACAGGTTAAAAAAAAAAAAAAAAATTAGCCAGGTGTGGTGGTGGGCGTCTGTAATCCCAGCTACTCAGGAAACTGAGGCAGGAGATTCGCTTGAACCTGAGAGAGAGAAGTTACAGTGAGCCAAGGTCGTGCCACTGCATTCCAGGCTAGGGAATAAGAGCAAGAAACTCTGTCTCAAAAATAAGTAAATAACTAAAAATTTAAAAATTAAAGCCTAATTGAGGAAATGAAACTACCCCCAGCTGTCTACTGGATGTCTTTACATATCTCTGTTTTAGAAACCCACGTTACACTCATGAGTAATCGCAAACAGACCTATGGCTTAAGACAACCAAGGCCCTCCATGGTCTGCCTGTCCTGTGGGCTCTGGACTGAGGCCGACTTCTGCTGAGAACACAGAGCATAGGGCAAACTGGGTGTCTGTTAAGAAGAGAGTGCAGGCAGGGCACGGGGGCTCACGCCTGTAATCCCAGCACTTTGGGAGGCCAAGGCAGGTGGATCTCCTAAGGTCAGGCGTTAGAGACCAGCGTGGCCAACGTGGTGAAACCCCATCTCTACTAAAGACACAAAAAATTAGCCGGGCATGGTACCGGGTGCCTGTAATCCCAGCTACTTGGGGGGCCGAGGCAGGAAAATTGTTGGAACCCACGAGGCGGAGGGTGCAGTGCGTCAAGACTGCGCCATTAAACTCCAGCCTTGGCAACAAGAGTGAAACTGTGTTTCAAAAAATTAATTTAAAAAGCTAGTAAAGAAGCCAATCCAGACAGAACCAGAGCTGTAGGGGGTCCTCACCTGGCAATTCCGAAGCAGGAATGTTCTGCCGATACTGATAGGTCAGCTCGCGGAAGCTGCGCAGGCCACAGCAGTAACACAGCACGGTGTTCCCAGTGACTCTGTAATCTGGAAGGAAACAGCCTCATGCAGACAGAGCCAGCTACCCAGCAACAGCCTCTTTCCAACAGCGGAACACACATGGACTTCACACCAGTGGGAAACTAACGAACTAATTGTAAATGGGGCAGAGAAAACAGGCTAAACGTCTGGAAAACGAGAATAAAGCCAACCTCAATACCAATTTCTTTTCTTTTTTTTTTTGAGATGGAGTTTCACTCATGAACCCAGGCTGGAGTGCAGTGGCCCGATCTCGGCTCACCGCAACCTCCGCCTCCTGGGTTCAGGCAATTCTCCTGCCTCAGCCTCCTGAGTAGCTGGGATTACAGGCATGCGCCACCATGCCCAGCTAATTTTTTGTATTTTTAGTAGAGATGGGGTTTCACCATGTTGACCAGGATGGTCTCGATCTCTTGACCTCGTGATCCACCCGCCTCGGCCTCCCAAAGTGCTGGGATTACAGGCTTGAGCCACCGCGCCCGGCCGCCAATTTATTTTCTTAGAGCAAAACAATCCCGCATGGATATAACATTTATTTATTTATTTATTTTGGGACCAAGTCTCGCTCTGTCACCCAGGCTGGAGTGCAGTGGCGCGATCTTGGCTCACTGCAACCTCTGCCTCCTGGGATCAAGGAGGCCTCCCGAGTAGCTGGGACTACTGGCATTAGCCACCACGCCCAGCTAATTTTTATATTTTGTAGTAGAGATGGTGAGGCATGCCTTGGCCTTCCAAAATGCTGGGATTACAGGCATTAGCCACCACGCCCAGCCCCATATGGATATAAATTAAATATTAAAACTCCCCAAAAATTACTAGGAAGAAAATGAGAAAATTAGCTATTTCTAAGTATGTCTTGAAAATCAAATTGCACATAGTTTCGAAAGGATCTGTACACTTGACTACCCACAATTTAAACATCAAAATGAAAATAAACACAACAAAAGTGAACTACTACTATAGTAGAAACATATTTGCAACAGAAATGAAAACGTGCTATACCCTTAATTAACAAAGATACCAGTCGGGTGCAATGGCTCACACCTATAATCCCAGCACTTCGGAAGGCCAAGAGCAAATCATGAGGTCAGGTGTTTGAGACCAGCCTGGCCAACATGGTGAAACCCTGTCTCTACTAAAAATACAAAAAATTAGCCAGGTGTTGTGGCGGACACCTGTAATCCCAGCTACCTGGGAGGCTGAGGAAGAAGAATTGCTTGTTTTTAGTAGAGACGGGTTTTACCATGTTGCCCAGGCTGGTCTCAAACTCCAGGGCTCTAGTAATCCACCCACGTTGGCCTCCCAAAGCGCTGAGATTACAGGCGTGAGCCACCGCACCCGGCCACATTTTCTTTGTGAGCCACGTCATTCTTACAAAAATAAGAAGCCATTTGAACTCCAAGATGTTCAGATAAGAACATGTCCAGAAAACAGCTTAAAAGGAGTTTAAGCAAAACTCTCAAGTCTTTCTTTCATAATTTATAGCTTAGGAAAGAAAATCACTTGTTAATATTTCTTGGCCAGTCTTGGAGGCTCACGCCTATAATCTCAGCACTCTGGGAGGCTGAGGCAGGTGCAATGCTTGAGCCCAGGAGTTCAAGACCAGCTTGGGTAACATAGGGGGACCCCGTCTCTACAAAAAATACTAAGATTAGCCAGGCATAGTGGCACACGCTTGTAGTCCCAGCTTCTCGGGAGGCTGAGGTGAGACGATTGCTTGAGCCCAGGAGGTCGAGGCTGCAGTGAGTTGTGATCATGCCCCTGCACTCCACCTGGGTGACAGAGCAAGAACTTGTCTCATATACATATTTCTACAGCCTTCCCTAGTGACAAATTATCGTACTCCACAAGGCACCCTGTGCCCCCCAGAGAGGAGTGACCTCACCAAGTGACTGACACACCAAGCAAGAGACAAACCAAGTCCCTCAAGGTCCCAGGACAACTGACCCCAGGACCCCTGGGGAGACAAACGGCAGAGACCCTCCAAGCTGCCCCACTCTCCCCTACAAGGAGAAAGGCTGCTGGAGTGCCTCACGCCAGCTCATGCTCAACTTTCAAAAAAACAACCCGAAAGCCAGGCACAGTGGCTCACACCTGTAATCCCGGCACTTTGGGAGGCTGAGGTGGGTGGATCACTTGAGGCTGGCAGTTCCAAGACCAGCCTGGCCAACATGGTGAAATCCCATCTCTATAAAAAATACAAAAAATTAGGCTGGGCGTAGTGGCGCACGCCTATAATCCCAGCACTTTGGGGGCTAAGGCAGGTGGATCACCTGAGGCCAGTTTGAGACCAGCCTGACCAACATGGAGAAATCCTGTCTCTACTAAGAATGCAAATTAGCCAGGCACGGTGGCGATGCCTGTAATCCCAGCCACTCGGGAGGCTGAGGCAGAAGAATCACTTGAACCCGGGAGGTGGAGGTTGCAGTGAGCCAAGATTGCGCCATTGCACTCCAGCCTGGGCAACAAGAGCAAAACTGTCTCAAAAAATTAAACAAACAAATAAATAAAAATAAATAAATACAAAAAATTAGCCAGGCATGGTGGCACATGCCTCTAATCCCAGCTACTCCGAGGCACAGGCAGGAGAATCTCTTGAACCCAGGAGGCGGAGGTTGCAGTGAGCTGAGATCATGCCATTGCACTCTAGCCTGGGCAACAAGAATGAAACTCCATCTCAAAAAAAACCAAAAACCAAAAAACAAAATCAGGATCTTTCTCCTGTTTCTTCCAGGGTGGGTGAAGGTCGAGTTGTGACTGGGAGAGAGGATGGGGAGCACTGCTCAGGCTTGCCAGGGTCTCCTGCCTTCCAGGGCAGGGGCAGCCCTGGAAACTCACATGCGCCTTAGAGCAGGAGGCAAGAGAACTCACCAGACAGCAGAAACACTCCGCGCTGGAGAGCCACAAGGCTCTCAGTCAACATGTTTTTCCATGTCAAACCCCTGGTTGCCAGGTAATTCTGTGACGCGAAGAAAAAAGGGAGTAAGAAACATTCGTTTGGGGGAGAAACACTGACATGACGAGAGAGAAAACACTTCCGAAAAGGCCCCGAAGGTGTGGAGAGCCATAGCCCAGCCCCCACGAGTGGCATTTTCAGACGGCCACACATTCACACCCCACGGCACGAGGAGTGTTGTCCAAGAGCCTTCTCCAAGTCCCAGAAGGAAGGCTAGCTTTGAACCCCGAGTATAGGAGTTCCCAGATTCTCTCAAAAGTTCTGCCGAGACCTTCACAGCCCAGGGTGTGACTGAGACACTAAAGCCTGGCCACGGGGCCCACAGCCCCACGACAGGCCCAGTCTGTTTGACAAGAAAAGCTGAGTACTTGGCATCTGATCTGTGTGCCCTTCAAAAACACGGAGCTGTGTAGCTCCTTTTGTGGGCATCAAAGCAGAGTGTAGGGCTGGGTGGGCAGGCCTGCCAGCTGTGTCTGTGGCCAGCGTCAGGCCCCACCATTGTGTGTGCTGTCAGTCGGCAAGGTGCTTGGCAAGAGGGCAGACGCGCACGTCCAACATATAAATCCTAGAAGCCGAGATTGCTTCCTAGATGCGGGGAGGCAAATGGCCAGACAAGGAAGGGACCAAAGAAAAGGCCCTGGTTCTGCCAAAGGGCACTTTCACGAAAGCCTCTCCGAGAGCTGTGGGAAGCAGCTCCTATGGATTCATGGCAGGAGGCACAAAAAGGAAAGACCCAGTTTTGGAATACGGGAAAAACAGATAAACACCACGGAATGCAGAGAACTAGCCGGCTGCACTAGTGAGAAAAGGCTGCTCCCGGCTCCCCAGCCGGTGGCAAGTCGGTACCTTCAAGATGTCTGACTCGTAGCTGTTGTTGTTCAGCACCCCGTCCAGACACTTGTCACCCAGGTTGAGCTCTGCCGAGATGAAGGGGCAAGGTTATCTGTTTATAAAGACGTCGCAGGAAAGCACTGTCTGCCCGACACTGAGGATAAACACATTTCTTTTCATTACAGATTCTAGAAGGAATAAGAAGTTCAATGATAAAACTCAATTTTAAACAGAGGACAAGTAGAAATGCTTTCCATTCCACTCCCTCCTTAAAAAGACCAGCTCTCCAAGTCTCCCCAGCACCTGGTCTGGTACCCTGACATCAAAACCCTGCAGCAAGGATTCCATCCAGGAGAATTTCCCCTAATCCTTCTGTTATTGCTTGATTTTGAGCTAACATGAGTTTGATACACCTCTGCAGTTCAGCAGAAAAGGGTCAACATTTGGTGACCAACAGTGGCCTCCCCACTCTACACATCAGGCTATGGACACCACCATTGCCTGCCCTCAAGTGGTTCACCAAGAGAACATGCAAAGGTCAAGGCAACTCGGGCCTGAAGAGCCAGTATTACCGCAGAACGGGGCCAGGCAGCCGAAGCAGCCGGTCCGGGTGCAGCCCCAGTACAGGTGACAGAAAGGCTGCAGGCAGACCGCACCTGTGGAGAGAGGACACCAGTCAGGCGCGCCCAGCTCTGCAGCCCATCTCCAACACAATTCGCCAATGCCAGGCTCAGGAGCTCAATTCCCTTCGGAATCATTGTTCAGGAGGAGTCTCCATGGAACTCAGGGACAGGGGCCACATCCCAGCTAACATCACCCAGGTTGTGACTGAACTATGAGGACAGAGAGTTATGACCCTGAAAAAAGGCCAGGCTCGTATTTTCTTTTTTATTTTTTAGAGATGGAGTCTCACTCTGTTGCCCAGGCTGGACCACAGGGGCACAATCACAGCTCACTACAGCCTTGACCTCCTGAGCTCAAGCGATCCACCCACCTCAGCCTCTCGAGTAGCTAGGACTACAGGTACACACCACCATGCCCAGCTAATGTTTTTTATGTTTGTAGAGATAGGGTCTCACTATGTTGCTCAGGATGATCTCAAACTCCTGGCCTCAAGTGATCCTCCCGCCTCAGCCTCTCAAAGTGCTGGGATTATGGGCATGAGACACCCCACCCAGCCCCAGACCCATATTGTTTCTTACAATGAAAACACATGCTCATCCCAGGAAAGTAGTGAGAAGCACAAAAGAAAACCTCTCACCTGCTCCACCACCCTACCATGGTTTTAATGGGTTTCCTTCTAGCTCTGAACATGCAACATGCTTGCCACCAACTGCGTATGTATATCTTTACGTGACTTTTTTTTTTTTTTTGAGACAAAGTCTTGCTCTGTCCAAGTGCAGTGGCATGATCTTGGCTCACTGCAACCTCTACCTCCCAGGTTCAAGTGATTCTCCTGCCTCAGCCTCCCAAGAAGCTTGGATTATAGGCACCCACCACCACGACCGGCTAAATTTTGCATTTTTAGTAGGGATGGGGTCTCACCATGTTGGCTGGGCTAGTCTCAAACTCTTGACCTCAGGAGATCTGCCCGCCTTGGCCTCTCAAAGTGCTGGAATGACAGGCGTGAGCCACTCTGCCCAGGCTAAATGGCTGTTTTCTACTGGAGTATTTTTCTATGTTGCCAGCTCGGTTTATAGACTTTTTTTTTTTTTTTGAGACAGAGTCTCGGTCTGAGGCCCCGGCTGGAGTACAGTGGTGCGATTTCGGCTGACTGCAACCTCTGCCTTCCAGATTCAAGCAATTCTCCTGCCTCAGCCTTCCCAGTAGCTGGGACTACAGGCGCGTGCCATCACGCCCGGCTAATGCTTTGTATCTTTAGTAGAGAAGGGGTTTCACTGTGTTAGCCAGGATGGTCTCCATCTCCTGACCTCATGATCCACCCGCCTTGGCCTCCCAAAGGACATTATTTTTAATTGTTCGATATTCTACAGAATGGAAATTCCTAAAATACAATATTAAGTAAACTCTAGCTAAAATTCTCACAGGGTTGAGTACTTAAGTCTTTTAACGTCTACACTCACTTCACAAGTCTCTGTATATGAAGCGCTCTCTATGAAGTTAGAGTCAAGAGTGAGGGCTACCGAGGAAAAGCCGGCCTGATGCCATCTGCTGACCACCTGTGTGTCAGGCACAGGGCGAGGTGTCCTCTGAGGCTTCCCGCCTCCCCTCCCATGTGCCGCATCAGCAGTGGGCAGTGACTGCATGGGTCGGCGGCCATGCCCCACGGCAGCACGTCCCAATGCGATGCAGCATCCACATCCCGAGACTGCGGGCCAGGCCCCACCCCTGCACGTCCATCAAGACACAGCCCCCAGAAGTAACCCATTTGGTTTACTTTGGTTTGCCTGGAACACTTTTAAGCCATTCCAGAGAGAACCAGTGCTGTGGCCCCGTGTGCTGCTCAACAGGGCGAGGGCTGTCTTCACTTAATACTGTCACATAGAGGGAGCTCTGACAAATTACGAAGTCATAGAAAAAAAGGCAAAGGACATAAACAGACATTTCTGCAGGAATAAATTAAAACAGCCATTAAATGAAGGAAAGCTGTTTTTAACATAAGAGCATACACACACACACACACACACACACACACACACACTTTTTAAATTTTTTTTGGAAATAGGGTCTCCATCTGTCACCCAGGCTGGAGTGCAATGGCAGGATCTTGGCTCACTGCAACCTCCTTCTCCCAGACCCAAGCCATACTCTGGCGACAGTCTCCTGAGTAGTTGGGATTACAGGTGCACACCACATCTGGCCAATTTTTGTGTTTTTTTGTAGAGATGGGGTTTCACCAGGTTGCCCAGGCTGGTCTGAAACTCCTGGACACAGAAGATCTGCCTACCTTGGCCTCCCAAAGTAGGCGGGATTACAGGTGTAAGCCACTGTGCCTGGCCAGAATTATATATTAAAGCATCAACATTCATCTAGGAGGTTTTAAAGTGACACCGGGGCATGGACACAGACCCAGGCCGAGCCCCCGCTGGATGCAGATGCAGCCTGTGAAGGCGCAGTGTTATCAGCAGGTGGGAAAAGATGGATTATTCAATATGGTGACGTGGGATGACTGATCATACAGATGGAAAAGGAGAAACTGCATCCTTACTTCACAGGTTACCTTACAGCCAACACCACTTTAAAACCTGAGCCCCAAGGGCCAGATGAGAGTGTCTACGCGCGGTGGTGCGGGCACTCACACTGCTGAGGGGCGACACTCGGGTCCTGCGCGCGCTCTGCTCTCCGGTCAGGCATGGGCTGGAAGCAGCAGGTGCACAAGGCGTGGCTTCCTTGCAGAGGGCACACGTAATCCTGAACTGCTGAAGCACACACACGTTCAGCCGGAGCACGTGGGACCCAGGGCAGAAAAACAGCAGGTTAGAGACGTACATCTAAAGAGGCCACCAGGAAGCACACACGAGGAGAGGTGGACCCGAGACAGCCAGGGAAGACGCAGACCTGCTCTCCGAAACCACTAGGGGACTTTCTGCCACCCAGACTGGGGCGTTCAAACGGATTAACAATAACCAAAAATGATCTTCGGTTTCACGACTGGAGGAAGAATTCAAAGATCTATTGAAAGTTTTCTATTGTTTCCTATAAAGAGAGGACAGGCCCATGGAGCATATGACAAGCTGTGTACTCAATCTCTGCTCAGGTGAGAGAACAGCTATCTCCTTCAAATAAACAAGGACAGGCAAGGTGCACAAGACCAATCGATGTGGCAGCAGGAAGCCTGAGCCCGCCCCGCCAAGCTCCCTGTACCCTCACCATCCACACAGGAAAGACCACAGGGAGGTCACCACAGCAGCCATCAGGACAGCAATTTCACGGCCCAGGTTCACTGAGGAACCCAGGACACCAGAAAGAGGCGCTGGTCCTGCCACGCAAACAAAGGAGCTTGTCCAGTGACCCAGACAGAGCTACTGAGTGGCAGAGGCAAACCCAGGCTGGCAGATGGGCATCCACACCAAGGCCAAGCACTGCTTTGTCCACTCCTTCCACAGGTTCTACAAGAAGCCACTGAGAACGACAGCACAAGGATGTGGCTCTGCATCAGTCCCAGGCCAGTGGCCTCCTGATGTGCTCAGCCCCACCCGTGGCCAGGAAGCCAGGACCCTTGAGGGCCATCTTCACCTTCTGTGTGTACTAGAGTGAGCAGGGCGGAAAAGTGCGGCCTCCACACCCCATGCCCAGCTCTCCTCTGCCTTCCCTGACAGCACCTGTGGCCCCTTGTTGGAAATAGGCACCTGACAGAAAAGCGTTTAGCATCAAGGCAACTCTGGAGATGCAGGGCAACTTCTGGCGACATCACCACAGCTTTTGGGGAGAAGCCCAACTCTTACTTGAGGGACAGATATACAATCATCACTGTGGGTCTGGCAAACCCACTGGGGGACATCAGCTGCTCTAGGCAGCAGGTGCGGAGAGACCAAGTATTAAGGTCAGGGTTATTAATTCCCAGCAGTGCTCAGGAGGGGCCATGAATAAACAGTTACTCATCTGATTTCCCAGCCCAAAATCAGTCATGAAAAGCAACAAATTAGCGCAGGGAGACCTCTGAAGCCAGGGCCCAAAGTGGGAGAGGGGTGCAGAGAGGAGGCAGGCAGAGCGAGGCTCACCTGTCGTGAGGCTGGCGGATGTGGAGGGTGTGTCCCCCAGGGCCTGCGGAGCCCCTGGCTCGCCCTCGGGTGCTGGGCAGCGGGGAGGCTGCGCCGCCTGCCTTCTGTACTCAGGACACTGCCGGCACACGACGTACGGCTGGCTGCAAGGAAGCACAGGCTGAGCTGCGTGCAGGCCCCCAGCCTCTCTCAGGCAGGGCCGGCGCAGCACGGGTCTGCAGCCGTCACACCTCAGCTCCACCCTTGCTCAGCTGCTTGGTGTGACGGGAAGGGCTGGGCCTCCTTCCTGCCCAGCACCCCACTGTTGGAGGATGGGACCAGGAGTTGAAGGGCAAGGATGCGATGCTCTGCGTCCCCAGCTTAGCCCCCACACTTTGGAGTGCCATCCCTGGGGCCACTCAGTCCCCACTGACGTGTGCTCCCAGGAGACGCTCAGGCCAGCACATGCGAGCGCACCCCATGCTCCTCAGGACACCGCCTACTCTCCCGTGACAAGAGCGCAGTGCACAAGGTCCAGGGGGTCCCACACCAGGCGCCTACACAGTCCCAAATCATTTATCTTTCTACACTTCCCTTGTACTTCCAAAAACTAGAGAAAAATGTAAACTACAAAAAAAGAACTTTCCTGTAATCCCAGCACTTTGGGGGGCCAAGGTGGGTGGATCATGAGGTCAAGAGATTGAGATCATCTGGCCAACATGGTGAAACCCCGTCTCTACTAAAAAATACAAAGATTAGCTGGGCATGGTGGTGCGCACCTGTAGTCCCAGCTACTCAGGAGGCCAAGGCAGGAGAATTACTTGAATCCAGGAGGCAGAGGTTGCAGTGAGCTGAGATCGCGCCACTGCACTCCAGCCTGGCTACTGGCAACAGAGCAAGACTCTGTCTAAAAAAAAAAAAAAGAGACTACCTATTTATCCTACTAAACAGGCAAAAAGAGTCCGTCACGGTGCAGACCTTGTAGAGTGCATTATACACACCCTTTCTGATCGGTGTCTGGAGAACAAACTTATCAAATGTCTATCAAGGTGAATTCCCAGGCACACCCTGTGACTCGACTGCTCACATCTAAACATTTGTCTTCATGACGTCACTGGACATGTGCACAAGGACGGAAGTGAGAAATGCACGGCAGCCTGTTTCCAAATTCAAATGCTGGGAAGACAGCCAAGCTGCACGTGCAGTCAAAAACTGTTTCATAAAATGAAATGTTTCATGAAAACATTCGTTTCTCATGCTTGTAATCCCAGTACTTTGGGAGGCAGAGGCGGGCGGATCACCTGAGGTCTGGAGTTCTAGACCAGCCTGGCCAACATGGTGAAGCCTTATCTCTACTACAAATACAAAATTAGTGGCTGGGCGCAGTGGCTCATACCTATAATCCCAGGACTTTGGGAGGCCATGGCGGGCAGATCACTTGAGGTCAGGAGTTTGAGACCAGCCTGGCCAACAAGGTGAAACCCCGTTTCTACTAAAAATACAAAAATTGGCTGGGTGTGGTGGTGCATGCCTATAATCCCAGCTACTCAGGAAGCTGAGGCAGGAGAATCACTTGAACCCCCGGAGATGAAGGTTGCAGTGAGCCAAGGTTGCACCACTGCACTCCAGCCTGGGTGACAGGGTAAGACTCTGTCTCAAAAAAAAAAAAAAAAAAAAAAAAAAAGAAAATTAGCCAAATGTGGTGGTGCATGCCTGTAATCCTGTAATCCCAGCTACTCAGGAGGCTGAGACAGGGAAATCACTTGATCCCAGGAAGCAGAGGTTGCAGTGAGCCAAGAGTGTGCCATTTCACTCCAATCTGGAAAACAAGAGTGAAAATCCATCACACACACACACACACACACACACGCACACACAAACAGGGCCAGGTACAGTGGCTCATGCCTGTAATCCCATCACTTTGGAGGGGCCGAGGCAGGCAGGTCACTTGAGGCCAGGAGTTGAAGACCAGCCTGGCCAACTTGGTGAAACCCCATCTCTACTAAAAATACAAAAAATTAGCTGGGCATGGTGGCACATGCCTGTAATCCCAGCTACTCAGGAGGCTGAGGCGAAAGAATCACCAGAACCTGGGAGGTAGAGGTTAGTGAGCTGTGATCACACCATTGCACTCCAGCCAGGGTGACAGAGTGAAACTGTCTCAAAAACAAAACAAAACAGATTTGTTAGTATACTGCATTTTATTTTGTTAACAATTGTGACACACTGAACGGCTGGGCAGATGTGGCAAAATATTAATATGAAGTGGTTTTGGTTTCCTTCTTTTTGCTTAACAGTCATTTGCTAAACTTAGCAAAAGGAAACAAGGATAAAAGTTTTGGGTTTTTTGTTCATTGTCTTTTAAAATATCATGGCCTCGACCCAAAATTCAGGCCTTGCATTTCTGAGTTAGGAAACCTCAACAGGTCAGCAGATAGTCTCTGAGGCCTGTATTCTCTCGACCAAGTGATAGTGCCTCTTCTGTCACAACACACTGACAAGTGATCAACGCTGCAGTTTATAGGGACTTTATAGTCACTAGATCAACTGCAAACAATACATGTGATCCGCCAGGTGTGGTGGCTCATGCCTTTAATCCCAGCACTCTGGGAGGCTGAGGTGGGTGGATCATGAGGTCAGGAGTTTGAGACCAGCCTGGCCAAAATAGTGAAACCCCCCATCTCTACTAAAAATGCAGAAAAAAATTAGCTGGGTCAGGAGAATCGCTTAAAACCCAGGTGGCAAAGGTTATGGTGAGCCGAGATCGTGCCACTAAACTCCAGCCCGGGCAACAAGAATGAAACCATCTCAAAAAAAAAAATTTAAAAAGTAGCCAGGCACGGTGGTGCGTGCCTATAGTCCCAGCTACTCAGGAGGGCTGAGGCAGGAGAACTGCTGCAACCTGGGAGGCGGAGGGTGTGGTAAGCTGAGATCGTGCCACTGCACTCCAGCCTGTGCAACAGAGTGAGACTCCATCTCAAAAAAAAAAAAAAAAAAAAAAAAATACATCTGCTTATGCGGGAAAAAATAACATACGGAATGATGTTCCTCTGTCACAGCCAGAGACGCAAGACCCATGACAAGGAGTGGAAGCAAAGGGAAGGGCATCGCCCAATGGCGCAAATGCCCATCACAATCACCTGTGGTTGACACTCTGTCAGCTGCCAGCCTAAGTATTCACCCAGTCCTTGCCACACCTCTCAGGGCTTTGCTGCTAAGGGGCAGAACTAGAACTCAGAACCCATGCTGTCCACCCAGTAGCGAGCTCTCAGCCATGCTGCTGATGCTCCTCTAGCTGCCATGCTCTGCTCCAAGCCAGGGGCGTGATTTACCTAATGTCTGAGGACTCACTGTCAACATCCGACAGCTCCAACAGGTCCTCTGAACTCCCTTCTTCATCGGAGAAAGACCGCCTGACTTTGGGCTGCAGCATGTCTTGAGTGATTTTATTCCTGGCATCCATACTTTGCATATCTTCTTCACTGCGACTCTTGTCTAGAATTGAAAGGACACAGCACCATTCACCGGCAGTGAGACACATCAGGCAGACACAGCCCATACTGCTGGGGGCCTGCGTGCCCAGTGCCACAGAAGGAGAGGTCTGGGTGGACCACCCTCACTTGCCTGGGTGCTGGATAAGGTATGCTTCCACGAGGTTGTTGAGGATGTGGTTTTTACAGATCCGCTCCACGGGACAGCGGCAGGTGGGGCACAGGGATGAGCGCTCCATCCATCCCGAGTAGCAAGCCGCACAGAACGTGTGCATGCAGGGCTGCAAACTGAAGCCGCGAGAGGGAGCCGTGTCCACACGGAGCCGCACACACTCGACCATCACCCTCAGGCCGAGGTCTGCAGCGGCCCTACCGCACGAGGGCCTGCAGGGTCCAGCCACCATTCAGCCTAAAACCCTTTAACTTTGTCTTTGTTAATGAGAAGAAATCAGAGACCACAAGCCCTGTGTTTTCAGGAGGAACGGAGGTGAGTAGCTTATGACTTCAGGAACACAAACAACAGAGACACCCAGTGTTTCCAGCCTGGAAGTCGGAAGCTTCTCACACTTAAGTTCCCATGGAAAAGCAAGGAGGCCCTTCCTCAGCTGCTCCTGCATTCATTCCATGCTTAAATACACTTTCCTAGCTAGGGAACATTTAAAATGTGCATAGTTCCTTTCATCTGTCTACAACGTTCACTGGGTCACACACAACTCACACTCCTGAAACCTTGTTGGGTCTATAGCCTCCGGCTCTGAGTTCCAGGTTTCCTCCTTGTTGGGGCCACAAGTAAAATGAAAATGGTGGCCATGCACGGTGGCTCATGCCTGCAATCCCAGCACTTTGAGAGGCTGAGGCAGGAGAATTAACTTGAGGTCAGGAGTTCAAGACGAGCCTGGGCAACATGGCGAAACCCTGTCTCTACAAAAAATACAAAATTAGCCATGTGGCTGGGTGCAATGGCTCATGCCTGTAATCCCAGCACTCTGAGAGGCTCAGGTGGGCGGATCACCTGAGGTCAGGAGTTCAAGACCAGCCTGGCCAACATGGTGAAACCCTATCTCTACTAAAAAATACAAAAAAATTAGCTGGGTGTGGTGGCACATGCCTGTAGTCCAGCAGCTCAGGACGCTGAGGCAGAATCGTCTGAACCTGGGAGGCACAGGTTGCAGTGAGACAAGATTGCACCACTGCACTACAGCCTCGTGACAGAGTCAGACTCTGTCTCAAAAAAAAAAGTAATAGTAATAAATAAAAATGATAAAATCACAACATTAAAAAAAAAAAAATTAGCCAGGCATTGGTGTGCACCTGTAGTCCCAGCTACTCAGGAGCCTGAGGTGAGAGAACTGCTTGAGCCAGGGAAGGAGAGGTTGCAGTGAGCTGAGATGGCACCACTGCACTCTTATCTGGGTGACAAGAGCCAGGCCTTGTCTAAAAAGAAAAAGAAAATGGTAACCTCAGCAGATTCTATGGCAAACAGGACGCAGAGGCTTCTTTGATGCCCACCCCCCTCCCCACACCAGATGAGGAAACTGCAGCGCCCTGTGTTCCACGAGCCAAGGCTGAACGCAGCCGCACCTCACGCAGTCATGCAGCAGGTCCTGGCAGATGATGCATGTCAGCGTCTCCTCCATCTTGTCTGGCTTCCCAGCCACAGCTCTGACATTGTCGTGGACAGTTTGGGTGTTTCTACACGGTTGTGCAAACAACACCTCTAGGTTCAGGTCGAGGTCCCCGTCTGCAAGAGAACGGGATGGTTCTGACTGTCGTAACCAAGGAGGGAACACATGCAGTACTTTCAGTTTACAAACACCTTCACCTGCAGACACAGAAAGTCTCCAGGCCTCAGTTGTCCAGAACCAGAAGCAGAAAACACACAGGTCTTGCCTTATGTTTGTATTTCTAACGGGTATTTTTCACCAGGCATCATGGCTCACACCTGTAATCCCAGCACTTTGGGAGGCTGAGGCCGGCAGATCAACTTGAGGTCAGGAGTTTTGACACCAGCCTGGCCGACATGGCAAAATCCTGTCTCTACCAAAAATACAGAAGTTAGCTGGAAATAACTTGAAGCTGGGAGGTGGAGGTTGCAGTTAGCTGAGATTGTGCCATTGCACTCCAGCCTGGACAACAGAGTAAGACTCTGTCTCCAAAATAATAATAATAAAAATAAATAAATAAATAGGGTATTTTTTTTTTTTTGAGACGGAGTCTCGCTCTTGTTACCCAGGCTGGAGTGCAATGGCGCGATCTCGGCTCACCGCAACCTCCGCCTCCTGGGTTCAGGCAATTCTCCTGCCTCAGCCTCCTGAGTAGCTGGGATTACAGGCACGCACCACCATGCCCAGCTAATTTTTTGTATTTTTAGTAGAGACGGGGTTTCACCATGTTGACCAGGATGGTCTCGATCTCTTGACCTCGTGATCCACCCGCCTCGGCCTCCCAAAGTGCTGGGATTACAGGCTTGAGCCACCGCGCCCGGCAAATAGGGTATTTTTAAGAAGGCCCAAAATAAATCTCCTATTCCAGTAGGTTTAAGTTTTGTGTTAGAGGAATGGTTAATAACATTAACAAAGAAATTCAGGATGTGAGTTAAGAGTTGAAGGCTAGCCAGGCGTAGTGGCTCATGCCTGTAATCCAAGCACTTTGGAGGCCAAGGCGGGCGGATCACCTGAGGTCGGGAGTTCAAGACCAGCCTGACCAACATGGTGAAACTCCGTCTTTAAAAAAAATAAATAAGTAAATAAAAAGAGTTGAAGGCCAGCTGTCAGTGTGTATGATGTCATTTTCTTTAAACACAAACTGTAACTCATGTACACAGAGGAAAGTGCTAAGAGACTGAAGATGTCACCAGGTCAAAATTTTTTTCTTCTAATGTGTTTTTATTTTTCTATAATACTCAGATGTTGGTAATCATTAATTTTTATTTTTAAAGAAACTGCACAGAATTAAAAAAGGCAAATATTTAGAAGAAGCCAGGCACAGAGGCTTATGCCTGTAATTCCAACACTTTCGGAAGTTGAAGCGGGCAGATCGCTTGAGGCCAGGAGTTCAAGACCAGCCTGAGCAATATAGTGAAATCCTATCTCTACAAAAAATACCAAAAAAAAAAAAAAAAAAAAAAAAAGGGCGGGCGCGGGGGCTCAAGCCTGTAATCCCAGCACTGGGGGGGGGCGAGGGGGGGGGAACAAGGTCAAGGGATCGAGACCATCCTGGGCAACATGGGG